GATAAACAATTCTAGACTTGATTAAAACACGTGCATGTATAAAACTGTCAAGTATTTTAAGTAATAAGCATTAAAAACTTCTAAAAAAATAACAATGTTGGTTTCTGTTGGAGAAGTCAGTGAAGTGTGGAATCCAAAGAGGCAGATGGATTTCTCTCACTTTCACAGGAATCAGACACCAAAGATTCTACCACTTTCTGCAGGAAACCCAGTCATCATTCAGGGATCAGGAACACTCAATGCCTCTCCCTAACACCTTATGCCTTTGATTAAATCCACAAGGAACTCTAAAATATCTTTGCTATTTAACAACTACAAATTTTTCATTTATTATCCAGTCTCCCACAGCTAGTGCTGTCCTTGTCACTGAAGGTGAAATGAAAATTGCAGATCTGAAGGGAGATGAGGTCCCAGAGTCACAGACCTATGTATCACCCTTGTTCTTAATCTCCCACAGTGATGCTTATAAATGAGTCTGGATCTGTGCAAAGAACTCACCAACCCACACAGACAAGAAGCCAGGTGAGTACAGTGTATTTCAGTCTGAGTGGTAGAGTTAGCAAAGAAGAGAGGCCTGAGTAAGTGATCATGTCTGAATGGGATCTGGGGTAGTAACAAATCCATGGACTAGACAAAATGAACAAAACTGAGTTGCATAGCTAAGAGATGAGGTAGAATGTCTCAAGTTTTCCAAACATGGTGTACTTTGTTGTTTCTTATTGTAATACATGCTCCCCACTGCTTGTGGCTACAGGTAAGAGCAATATAATTCAGTCCAAATCTGAATATGGGGAAATGCGGTAATAAGACAATGTTATAATTCACTTCTGCTTACATGATTTGTAGACTATATGCTCAGTATTATTATTTCAGTTTTTTTACTATGGTTTCATGTCACAGTAAACAGCACAATGAAAGTATAAGGTGCACACATCCCAGAGAAGAGCAGGATTTGACTATGATTATGTATTAAAAGAATCCATATGTGATACTACGATTATGTTTTGTTTACATAAGCAGTAACTAAATCGTTAGTGAATGGCTTTTGGTACAATGATTGGTTTGAAGACCCTCCCTCTTAAACTTGGGAAGGGAAATGGAAGAGAAAGTACAGCATGAGTATCAGTCAATGACATCCAGGATAAAATGTGTAGAGTTATTATGCTGGTTTCATCATCTAATATTTATCAGAACCTGGTAGATGCCTTCACTCACACTGTTTACCATTATTAATATTAGAAGATAGAGCCTTGTTCATGGTCTGCCAGGATGCTACACATTGGCTAAATATGCATTAACACTTAGTATAAACAGTACTAACAGGGGGCAATATTTAATGCTCACACTGGACAGTATTAATGGTTTCATACTCTTCTTATTGTACTTTATCATCTTACATGCCTCTTCTCTGTGTAAATGCATTATATTTTTCATTATAATAGACTGATTAATATATGAATGAGCAAATAAGTCAGATGGGGATACAATGCTTTAACAGCAGCACTTGTCTGGCACAGAAGGCAGGTCTCTGTAAATTTGAGATCAACATGATAAACGGTGAATTTTGAGACAGTCAGAGCTACATAGTGATGCCCAGTTTTGTAGAATAATAATAAAGAAGACTGAATGAGTGCTGAATTTTAAAAGAAATGTTTTAGGAACATAAAGTATATTTCATGGTATTAATTATTAATAACATTACGGTTTCGTTTTTATATGCTGTACAGATTAGTAGTGTAATTCCTCTGCATAACCTACTGTAACCTTCATCCCTAAATAACAACGATTCACATTTTGGGTGGCGTCATAAATGTCAGGTCTATCTTGTGCATCTGAAACCAAACCGAGAGATGAAACAGTTTTCTGTCAGATCAGACCATAATGAGAACAATGCCCTCAGAAGCACTGGGATTTCACATTGACCTAGGAGATAATCATGTACGTAAAAGTTAAAACATATTTGTGACATAATTTTTCTTTATTTTAGGTTAGGGTATGATTTCCCTGCATGTAAATGTGAGCTCTGTGAGAATGCAATGCCTCTAAAGGCCATTAGAGGATGACAGACGTCCCTGGGATTGAAATTGCAGGCAGATGTAAGGCACCCTGTGGGTGCTGGGAACCAATTTGGAATCCACCACAGCAGCATATTTTTCCTTACCTCTGAGCCTACTCTTGATTCTCCCCAAATGAAAACTTTTACAGCACAAAGCATACCATAGGATACCAAAAAATGTGACCAAAAATCAAGTGAGGAACACAAACTGAAAAGACAGGTGTAGTTTTTTTGGACATGATTTTGCAAGCAAAGACTGAGGTGACTGTGTTTCTGGAATATATTCCACATTCAAGTCCTTGAAATATTCACACTGACTCTAAGCAATTTTTGTACTTAACAGTCCCATGCCCTCGTGATTCTTAGTACTTTATAGTGAAAGTAATGGCATAGTCTAGATCATGCAGTTTTTACTATTGAAGAAGGGGACAAACTGAGAAGGTAGCAGTGGCTCACAAATTGTCATTGCTGTTTTCCACATATACAACCTGTATTTAACTCACAGAAATAATACTTTCCATTATCCACTTAAGTCTTTACAGAATTTTACAAAGTGAATATTTTCATATGAGGATACAGGATATCAATGGGTGTATCCAGTGTTATCACACCCTACTTTCCTGTGCAGAATCTTATAATTGTAAAGACAGATGTCCTTTAACAGATTAAGCATATAAGAGGTTTCACCAGGTAGTTGATACTTGTCCCTGTTTCTTTTCATTAACATTGCTTCTTATTTCACTACAACAGATGTAATCGGATACCCAAATAAATACTCATTGTCATGCAAGTGGCTTAGATACCTCGTTGTCAGTGTCATTAAAGGAGTCTCAAAAACCACAGCAGCTCTAAAATGAAGCATTGTCAGTAATTGCATTTTTTTTCCTTCCTCACAGATATGACCGGACAGGTGCACTGGCCTGAATTTCTTAGAAACTTTCCTGGCCTCGAAGCAGTTAACGATCCTAGGTAGGTAGAACTTTTAAAAGTTTGCAGGGATGTTGGGTATTCATTTGTCCCTGTTGAACAGTGTCTACCTTAAACTGAGTCACAACTGATACCTGCACTTCTGAAAGACATCCCAATCCCTCAACACTCAAGAGTGTAAACCAACCTTGAGGACAAGACCCTAAGGGTGTTGTTGACTCCATCCCACTTCAGGTGGGTTCCAATCTCCTAGAATAACCAGGTACTACCAAAACCCATAAGCACCCCAACATCTACCCCATCGAGAATACCATGCCTGAGGTTGTGAAGGTACTAGTCCTGTGGAACAATACTCATGGGATCTCCACACATTGTGGGTCTGCCCCACAATATCTGATCTCTTATTTACTTTCATTTTATAGGCTTTTGCATTTAAGATATTGAATGAATCTCAGAAGTGACTTTGAATATTGGACTTTGAAACATTGTTGAGGATGTGAAAAAAGTTTAGGAAATATTGAAGAAGGACTGAATGCATTTTGTCTTGTTTTACAGCACCTCTATGGAGGTTAGGAGTAGATTGTGTTGGTTTGAATACTATGGCACTGATAGAATGTTTGGCCTGTACCGAGTGACATTATTAGAGGTTATGGTATTGTTGGAGTTGTGTGTCACTCTGGGGATGAGGTTTGTGGTCTAATACGCTGAAGCTACACTCAGTATGAGAGTCAGTTTATTTCCTGTTGCCTGCAAGTCAAGATGCAGAACTCAGCTATCTCTATAGCACTATATGTGCCTGGATGTTTTCATGTTTCTCATCATCAAGATCATGGAATGACCCTCTGAAACCTTAGGCATGCGCAAATTACATGTTTTCCTTTATAACAGTTGCTGTGGTCATGGTGTCTCTTCACAGTATTAGCAACCACAAACATGACAGAAGCTATTCTCGGGATTTGCGTTATTGGCACATAGGTTTTATTTGTCCTACCTCCCCAGATGTAACCAGTTTCCCAGTCTTCTTGTGACATTCACTGATGTGCTAGACCTAAACATATAATTTTGTTATTTACAAGTAGTAAAACCAGGTTGAGCGAGAATGTGTGGTAATGGATTTTGGGGCTGTTATACAGTACATAATAGAATAATTTCTTTATTCCAATGCAACAAATTTGTAGGGGATTCTCTAGTACCAGTGCATGGAGAAAGGGAGACTGTTGATATCTCACAGTACCTAAAGTCTCACCTTATGTCCCCACATTGTTTTACATTTTCAGGTACCAATATTTATGGATGACTTTCTTCCAGCTCTTTTTTATACAGTTGTCATTATATGGCTGATAAATGCGTAGGGAAATTGTGACTTTACTAGGACAGCATGGTTCAGCCTGGTACTGATTCACAGCTGCTTCTGCCTACTTCTTCAAGGGATCTCGACCTTCATACGAGAATATAAGATAACTTATCTTACAGGAATACTGTGTAGTTTATTGAGAGTTTATTCTGAAATCACTGCACTGTGTAACTCACTGCTTTTTCAGTATCATTTACATTTAACATTAAGGAGTGGTGTATGATTAACCCTGACAGAGTTTCAATAGACATTTTAGACATTATTTCTCTAACTGTCATTCATATTTATTGTCCTTCTTCTTTCCGTTTTTCCTTGCATATTTTGACTTATCTATACTCCTGTTCAGTCTCAGAGATTTCCTCATACCAGATTGCACCATCTCCCTAACAATTCGGATATGGGTGTGAACAGATGGAGGTGTCTATGTCTTAAAATGTAAGTTGCCAATTTAACCATCATTTTAATGCATCTGTGCTTTTAATAATTTTTCATATGTAAGACTGTTGCAGGGTAAACAACCAAATTCCACCACCATGGCAAAAGTAATAATTGAAAATCTGTTTTAAGTGAACTTGGATACTACATGAAGAGAAACATTTCTCAAAGTGCAGCCTCAAATTCATTTTCAGACTGTGGGAGCATATTCTAAAGGAAATTGTGCCAAGTCACAGAATGGACTTCTGGAATCTGGCCATCAGAATTATTTCCTTATCACAAACTACAGCTGGAATTCTGGGAAATTTTTCTGTAATTTTCTACTATTTTGTCCTATACAGCAGAGAATGCACATTAAAGCCCACAGATGTGATTCTGGTGAATGTAATGTCAGCTAATGCCTTGATCATTCTCTCTACAGGAGTGCCACAAACAATAGCAGTTTGGGGATTTAAGCATTTCTTGAATGAGTTTAGATGCAAACTCCTATTGTATGTCCAAGGATTGGGTAGGAGTGTGTCCATTAGCACCATCTGCCTCTTAAGTGTCTTCCAGGCCTTGACCATTAGTCCCAGGAAGGTCAAACTTAAGAAGTACACCAGTTGGAATGTCTTCCTCATCTGGATCCTGTACATGTTCATAAATTTTATTCATTTTGCATACACAATTGTCAACAGGAATATCAAAAATGTGACACAAAAACAAGATTTTGGGTACTGCTCTGCAGGGAGGGACCAAATTGGCGATTCACTCTATGCAACATTGGTGGTTTGCCCTGAAATCTTTTTCTCTGTGATCATGGTCTGGTCCAGTGGATCCATGATTGCCATTCTGTACAGGCACAAGCAGAGGGTCCAATACATCCGCAGCACAAATGGTTTGAGCAGAAACTCCCCTGAGTACAGAGTCACCCAAAACATTCTAATCTTAGTGTCCATCTTTTTGGCTTTTTACACTCTCTCCTCCTTCCTAAGAGTCTGCATTTGTTATATAAATAGTCACAATTGGAGGCTGGTGAACATCAACCGTCTTACCTCTCTGTGTTTTCCATCATTTGGACCCTTTGTTCTCATGAATCATTACTCTCTTATGTCCAGACACTGTTTGGGCTTCATAAGGAATAAAAATCATTTAATCTCATTTCAAGAAAGGAAATGATTATGTGTTGCTTGGTATTGGGTTGCATACTTGCTTGTCTCACTGAAAAGATCAATACAGAAACTTACGGAGGAAGTACCTAGTCTTTTTAAGATTAGCTGAAATGAATATGGGTGTTTTGTCACCTGCTTGAATCAGTATCAGTATCCTTCCTGAGCTGTTCAGATTGTATGAGACCCAATATACTCCCACTTGAAGCTGTGAGAGTCTTCCCTTTGATCACCTGATGTGCAAAGAAGTCATGGAAAAGCTACCAATAAAAATGTCATTATTGTGGCTTTCATTTAGCCATGATCTAGGCTGCTTGTTTATGTCTCAGACAGCTCTGCAGTCTACATTCTGACTGGAAGGGAAACGGAAATTGCTCCTGGCAATGAATTTGTATCTCAGGAGATTCTGGTCACATCACAACTTCTCTAGCTTGTTCCAGTACCGGAAAATAAACAGAAGTAATATCTTTCACTTCACACAAAAATCAATTAGAATGAAAGATGGTTTTTTGAGTAAACAGGAACTTTGTCTATTACCATTTTTTTATTTTAGCATCATCAGGAATATTGACTTGTAGTTTTCCTTTGCTGTTGTTCTGTCTTTATCTGGTGTGGCACCAATGTAATGCTGGCTGCAAGAAAATAGTTTCAAAGAATTAAATGTAGCCATTATGGAAATCAGTTTCCCTATTTCTCAAAAAAATGAAAAAAGGAAATACTGTCTGACACAGACACTCCACTCCTGAATTTATACCCGGAGAACTCCCGATCATTCCCTAGAGAAACTTTCATATTCATTTTCAATGCTTCTCTATTTAATATGGCAAGGAAATAGGGCCCACTTACAGCCAAAATTACATAAATTGATGAGCAAATTTGTGCTAATAAATTAAATGGACCATTATTTGGCTACGGAGAGGTGAACTTAAATTTTGTTAAATGGTATTTTCTTCTTTTTCCTTTTATTACACATGGATTTTTCCCATACTATATTACCTGAGTACAGCTCACTCTCACTTTACTTCTCTTAGATACACTCACCTCCTCTCCCATCTATATCCACTCACTTTTTGGTCCCTTTTAAAAAAGGAACAGCCCTATAAGAGATAACAGCAAAATATAATAAAGTAAGATGAAACAAAAACCATCATACCGAAGCTGTACCCAGACTGATAGCTGGGAAACTAGCATAGGACAGTTCCAGACCCCCTGAACATGGGTATCAGTTAGGAGGCTTGGACAATCTTTGGGACCTCTGGTAGTGGATCCCTAGTACACGAATTGACTTTGGGATCCAATCCACATAAAGGTATATTCTCTCATCCTAGACACATGAGGGAGGGTCTAGGCCCTGCTACAAATGATATGAGAGACTATGAAGATCCTCAATGGAAGGCCACAACCTCCATGGGGAGCAGAAAGGGGATGGGATAGGGGGCCAGTGGGGGGCAAAAATGGAGGGGATGGAGAGGGAACTGGTATTGACATGTAAAAGAAGTTTGTTTCTAATTTAAATAAACAAAGGAAAAATAGACATAATAGCAGAGAAACAATGGGGCTTCAGTAGAAGGTACAGGAATCAGAATATCAAGCGTTTTGAATCCAGGAGTCCTAGTAAAGTACTAAACTAAAACTTTTCCTATAAATGTAGAGAGCATAGAGCAGACAATATTTTCCTGTGATTTTTGCTTCAGTTTCTGTGAGTGTATATGTGCCTTGTACAGTTGAGAGGTCCTGGTTCTCCTGATGCCCTCCTCTGTCCACATATTCTCTCCCACTCCTTCTGCATACACTTCTTTGGAGTTCCATGAAGTATGAGGGGAGATTTTTGATGAAGACAACACATTTAGAACTGCATGTTGAAGGATCTCTGCCTATCACTGTGTGTGTGTGTGTGTGTGTGTGTGTGTGTGTGCGTACGTGCTGTCTGTGTGTGTGTGTGTGTGTATGAGTGAACTTGGTGTGTGTTTATGAGTGAACTTGACCCAAACTGGACCATAAGAGAAGAAGGATCTCAGCTGAGAAAGTGCCTACATGATATCTAGCTGTAGGACATTTTCACAATTAGTTATTAATGTGAGAAGGACCAGTACGTTGGAATGGTACCATCCATGATCTGATGGTACTAGGTTCTCTGAGAAAGCAGTTTATAATTCCATGAGAAGCAAGCCAATGAACAGATCTCCTCCCTGGCCTCAACATCATCTCCTACCTCCAGGTTGTAGCCCTGTTTGAGTTTCTGTTCTGACATTTTCTATTGATGCACTGTGATGTGGGAGTGTAAGCCACTTTTATCCCCATTTTCTCATTGCTCATGGTATTATGTTGCTGCGAAAGAAACAAGAATTGAGACACAATGGGCCCTTTTTGGCCAATAACTAAATAAGATGGAATGAGTCACAGTAGTGCTAGCTTTGTTTGTGGAAAGGAGTTGTTGAGGTGAGGTTCTTTCTACCTCATTATTTTGGGACTTCATTAGAATCAAATTCATATGTAACATGAAGTTTCCACTTAAACAGTTCTTCATACTGTCCATCAAATGTTCTTCCATTCCAATTGTCTGATTATTCATTCCCTCCCTCAAACACAACTTTCATTCCCTTTGCCCTTCGCTTTCCCATCAAACCCTCCTACTCTTGTCTCTACTTTGCCTCTGGCTTCAATCTGTCCATAAAATCTATTTTCTTTTCTCATCCCAGGAAGATATATGGGTCTTCCCTAGTTTCTTCCTCTATGCCTTAGATCTCTGGGTCTATGGGTTATGTCTTGGTTATCATTTATTTAAAATTTCAGGAATAAGTGTAAGTGAATACACACGGAATTTATCTTTATGGCCCAAAGTTACCTCACTAAGGATGATTCTTTTTCTAGTTCCACCATTTGTCTTCAAATTTCATGAAATCATTGTTTCCATAGTTGAGTGTTACTCCAGTGTGCAAAGTTCACTTTCTCTGCCCATTGTTATTTGAGGGTCATTTAGGTTTTATTTCTTTTTCTGCCAATTACCATTACAGCTATTCCCCCTGAACCATACTGTTTTACCAGTAAATTGTATTACAAGTTAGATTATACCAGAAAACTTTAATTTTTAAAGGTAGCTTTTTAACTTTCTTGATAAACAGAAAATTTTAAACAGAATTAATTTAATATGGTCAAAATTTTAATTTATGTTAATAATTTTTGATTTAGTATTTGTTGGTATGAAAACATAGCAAACAGTTCACATCCTTGGCTACATGAGAGTGAGTCAGTTTAAAAGAGAAACAGAGCCCATGCCTTTAATCATTGCACTAAAGAAAATATAAAGCAGAAACTCAGTGCAGTCTCAGAGAGTAGTCTGAGGTTTTGTGGAGAGCATTACAGTCTGTAGTCACTCTGAAGAAATGGTTGACCTCCTTTTGTCTTAGTCTTGGTACAGGTAAGAATTCTTTAGTGGCTTGACTGTTTTTTGCTTTGCTTTTCATTAGTTTGAACCCCAATATCTGTTCCTGGGATTTTATTAGCCATGTTACATACTAAATCCAAATATAAAGATATGAATTCATGAAAGAGCCATTTGTGCCTGACTTTTTAACTGCTCATCCAGTCCAGAGAAGCACTCAGAACTCACACAGGGCTCCCAAAGCAGTCACCACCCAGATGGCTAGATTCTACTTTCTTTTTGTCCCAAGACTCTGAGGAAACAGGGGAATTTCTTGTTGTAGCCTTTCTAAAACAGTTTCCTGGTGCCACTCGAACTCCAAAAGCACCTGAGTTCCACATGCGATAGCACATATATGGCTAGGAAAAATTGGATAATTGGATGCTCCCATCACATATGGGTTTTCCACACAATCTAGGGTGTGGTTTTTCAGATCTCTCTCTCTCTCTCTCTCTCTCTCTCTCTCTCTCTCTCTCTCTCTCTCTCTCTCTCTCTCATTCCCCCTTTCCAATCTCCTCTCCTCTGTCGCTCTCTGTCTCTTTCTCTCTCTTCCTCCCTGCCATGTGTTTCAGGTTTTCCCAACACCCCACTCTTTGGGCTTCTATTCTCATCTCACAACTATGTGCTAGCTCTCTGCATAGATGTGTTATGACTCATAGATCACTTATATTATCATCAAATTTGATAGGGAAATGTGAAATTCTTAAAGGAAGGAATTAGTTAAAAGAGAGAGTTGTAACTAACTATGCTACTCTGGATGATAGAAAAGCATTAGAAGATAAGATGTAAATTTCAGGAGAAACAATAAATCAAAATTGATAAAGATTAGATTAGAATTTCCCAAAAGTTATGGTTCAGTAAGGGTTATATTTTTGTCTTTACAGGAAGATAAAACAAATATCTTGAGGAATTTAAAGACCTTTTCATAAATAAGCATCCAAAGAAGAAGGGATAATTACCCACAAAGAGTTTCCAAGAAAAGATATAATCTGACCTAATGTGATCTCTGAAACCTTCAAAGAGATGATGGAATCTCATGACAATCCCATCTGGAATATTACATAACACTAAGCTGAAAGTCTCAACTAAAGATTGTCTTTAGACTACAAACTGCTAAGAACAATTTGCAGGAGCTAACTGAGATGATCCAAACTCACAGATTATGCAGAGACTAGAAAGTGATACAGCTACCTCTAAAAGGATTTGAAAATTCACCCAACTTTTTATTTTCAGGATTTGATAAAAATGCTGTGGCCCTCAGACAGCAGGAAGTAAATTTAAAAACATGATGCCCCCCAATAACAAAAAGTTGAGTGGGTGGAGCTTGGTCACTCTTGCATTTGAATATTTTTCATTCTTTAAAGGAATTGGTTACAGGTTGTTATTGGTATTGGTTAGGGAAAAAAAGCTAAACAAGGATGAATAGATTCATGATTCTTGCTTTGAAAAGAAAAAGTAGGATACAGATATGATAGGATTAAAGGCAGATTGTTTTACTTATTCCAAAAGGAAAAAACAGAGGATATAGATATAATAAAATGAAAAGGTAGATTATTGATTCTAATTTTATTTTTATTTATTTTTTCTGG